GGCTAATCTATAAGCCTAAGCCTAATCTAATTCTCGATATGTCAGGTCAAGCTTTAGGCCTCTGTAGAGCAGCCTGACCCATTTACACCCCTAGACCTAGTAGGTAGTAACTTTTGGCTATGGTTTTGGATGGAGCAAAATAAGAAAAATATCTCATTTAAATAAGGAAAAAGAGAAACTAAATATGATGGCTAATCAACCCCCTTGATTAGCGCCCTACTACTTCCCACTCATATTATGTAATTTCCTTTTTTATTTTTATCCAATTAATCCAATTGATTAATTTCTCAAATTTTAGCCAATCAATCTAATTAATTGGTTTCGTTAATTTGAGCCATTCAATCAAATTAATTGGTTTCCTTAATTTTCTCCATTGTTATGAAATCTAATTTAATGAGTATATTTAAATTTAAATTAATTTGTATGTGACCCATATAGTTTAAATTTTTTTTAAAACTTGCTCAAGATGGAAAGTTTACACCTTTCAAAAGAATTCAAATCATTGTATGAATTACACGTGGCAAAACTTTTCACATAATGACCCTGAATTATAATATAGTATAGATTCTTTCTCAATAAACATAAAACAACACCTAATAATCAAACACGTTTTTATTTTTATTTTTCAAAATAAAACAATTAACCCATAACTTTTATTCATTTTTAAAAAATTAATTCTCAATCTCAAAAGGTTTTTTTTATATATAAAAAATAATAACAAAACTAAAGTGACCATTTTTCATATTTAAGATACTCTCATAAAAAAATGATAATAAAATATAAAAGGAGTAAAAACTCTGTTAGATTAGAATAGAACAGAAAGATGGAAAGGTAATAATTTTTAGGAAAAGATATTGTAACAATCAATTAGTGTTATTACTAATATTACTATTAATGAATTTTACCGTTAGATCGATTATGTTGATCCAACGATTATATTTATTTTCATCTTTGTATGATTATGATTCCCAATATTTAATACTTTATAATTATTTTCACTTTTGTATGGTTATGATTTTTCAGATTTAATATTTTCACATTAAATATGAGAAATCATAATCATACAAATATAAAAATAAATATAATCGTTGGATCAATATAATCGATCCGTGAAATTAATTGATAATAACATTGGTATTAATACTAATTAATTGATACAATATCATATCCCACCGTTATAAGAAAATAAGAGAGGCACATGCAAAACGCGGTTCCAACAACCAATCTTAATTAAAAAGGACAGCTGTTGGAAAATTCCAAGAATGTGCGTGCGAGATCCATTAATTGATTCTTGGGTTGATGGGTTCCATTCTTATATATAAAGCACCTCTCACAGCTCTTCCTTTTCGAGGTTTTCTCTTATTACTTTCTTGATGCTTTTTTGCTCCCAGAAAATACTGGGAGAAAGAAAGAAGCAAAGTTGGTGAGGGTAATAACGTAATTACAAGCATGGCGAAGTTGGTGGAGATTCTTGACTTGATGAGAATTGTGGCAAGGTTTTATTCTAACTGTCCTCAAACAGGGCGCAAGTATTATCACCCTCCTTCTCCCTCCGTCTCCGACAACGCCGACCGCCACTCTCATGGCGGAGCCACTGTCGCAGCCAGAGCATGCGCTTCCGATTCTGTTGGCCCTGCTCTGGGAATGAAGACTATTGATATCATTCTTTCTTCTATTTGATTTTAATTAGAGGTAAAGATTTTGTTTATTTTGTGTCATTAATTAGGATAATTTTGTTTCATAAACGAGTCTTGTTCACATACTCTCAATACAAATGTTCTTTTATTTTTTATTTTTTATTTTTTTGGTGGATGAAACGTTCTTTTCTTATGTGTACTATTGTTTCATTTTTCAATGTCGTGTTTAAAAAATATTATGGTGTATGATATGATATTCACCTCAAGTTTCGAGCCAAATCTTGAACCGACTTTTATCAACCACGTTCTCATATGATTTTGAAATCTTAACAGAATCATTAAGATCCATACACCCCCATTAAACAAATCTATTGATTCTGAAGTAGTTTCAATTTTATTTTATTTTTTTCTTTACTATTTATTACAAGAACTTTTTTTTAGCTTTTGTTAGCTACAGAAAAAAAAATCTCATTTTAAAGAGAAGAAAAAGAAAAAAAAGATGCACTCGTTGTTGTGTAAACGTAATAGATAAATTTTTTATGTAATAAAAACATAAATATTAAATCCTTTTGTAAATGTCATTATTTTATTTTCCTTTCCTTTATGTTAAAATGCCCGGGCAAATTCATAATTTAACATATTTTTTTAGTTTTCATGAAAATGATTTTTAATGCTCATCAAAACGGAATTTATAAACATTCTCACGTCCCATATTTGAGTTTTAACTACTTAATGCTAATTGTTTGTCAACGGAAGTGCTAAGCATACCCTTAGCTACACTTTGAGGTCGCAACGTGGGCGTTTCGTCCCGCTTTGTCTTACTTCATTTTTAATTCATTAAAAAATGAGTCAATTCATCCTGTCTTATTTTTGAAAATGAGTTGAAAAATTTGACCCATCAGCCCGAACCTATTTTATATTATTGACCTGTCCTGCCCAACTCTTTATCCACCAAAAAACGAGTCAGCTCATCTCGCTCCACTTTTGAGAGTGGGCTGTAAAACTCAGTTCGTCTTGTCCCGTCGAGCTGAACCCATTTTGCCAAGCCTAGCTACACTGCAGTTGTTAATTTTTTAATTCATGTAGAAGACAAATAGGTCTAATGCATATTTGAATTAATGTTATTTTTAACAGATAATAGATTGAAAGATTGTAGCATTGATTTAATCGCACTTTCATCATAGCAAAAGATCAATCATAACAGCAGTATATAGGAGAGCTAAAATGTCATATTATATATGGAATGACAACAGAAATGGAATCGAAAAACTACTGACACATTGTCCACTATCCACATAAATATCATAATTATGTTCGATTAAATTCAGAGAAAGAAAAAAAAAAAACTAAGTGGCAGCCTTTAGATGGGATAAATCTTTGGTACTACAGTTATATCCAAGTAGATACAATATTTTTTCAATTTTGGAAAAGAGTGCAATGTGACGGGAAAAATAAATTTGAAAAGTGTTGAATATTTTTTCAAAAGTGATACCAAAGATTTATCCCCTTAGATGTAAACACCCAGAATTCGTTATACACATAAACTATAAATTTAATCAATTACGTGCTTGTTATGTTTGATATGAGTAGGAATTAAAATAGGTTAATCAATTCTGTACCAAAAAACAAAAATAGGTTAATCAACTTCTAGCCTATGGTCTAACCTTAATAGAATAAATTTAATCAAATAAACAAGCTTCTTGAATCAGACCATAATAAATTTAAGAAGTTTGTGTAATTGTATGTCAAATTAATAGCTCATCCTTGATACCACAAGTTTGTCTCTATGATATGAGATAACTTATCTCCTTTAACGTGAGATTAATAAAATCCATAGTTAACAACATTGCAAAATGCAATTTGCGTTACACACTTAACAACATTGCAACCGGCTGTTAATCTTTTAATTTATTTATAAACATTTTGAATTTTTAAAAAATCTTATACAATTTTGTACCAAAACATTCTTATAAATTTTGTTCATGCATAATTTTTATTTTTATAAAATGATACTTTTACTATTTTATTTTCTTTATTTATTTTATGAGGATAATGATATTCTCTCATTATTAAAATTTATATCTTCTTTCTTTATTGAATTTAATAAAATAGCTTCAAGATTAATGGTGTGCATGACAACCTTCTCGAAATTAGTTTTTTTTTTTTTTTTTAATTTATGTTCTCGGGAGCAGAAATGGATACAAAACTCGTTTGGTAAAATCAATTTATTTTCTTGTTCCTGGGATGAACCAGTTTACTTTTTGTGCTGAAAAATAGAAAAAAGAATCACAAAATTTCCACTTTTTTTTGTTCCCGGGCACAAAATGAGAAACATTTGTCTCTCAATCACACTCCACCACTACCATCATCACCGCAACTATCGTTGACCACCACCACCACCTCCACGTCACCACCACCATCGTTGCCACTACCACTACCACCACCACCACCACCACCACCACTACTGTCACCACCATTATCACCACCACCGCCACCATTACTACCGCCATCGTCATCGCCGTCGCCACCACTACTACCATCACTATCATCGCAGCCATGTCACCACCACTACCTTTATCATGCCACTACCATCGCCACCGCCACCGCCACCATCATGTCATCATCATCACCATCACCACCACTATCGCCGCCACCGCCACTATGCCACCATTATCACCACTGCCGTTGCCACCACTACCATTATCACACCATTGCCACCGCCACCACCATGTCACCACATCACCACCACCACCATCGCCACCATTATCACCACCATCGCTTCGGCCACTACTGTCACCACCACCACCTCTACATCATCGCCACCATCACCACCAGCACCATTACCATCACCACCATTATCACTACCATCACCGCCATCAACACCACCACTATCACCGCAGCCACTACCGCCACCACCCCTACCACCACCGCCGCCACCCCTACCACCGCCGCTACCATGCCATCACCACTATTACCACCGTCTTCCCCACCATCGCCACACCACCACCTCCACCACCAGCACTAGCACCAGCACCACCACACCATATGAAAAGCAAAGTGATGATCCGAAAAAAATTATGCTTAATAGAAATATTTTTTTATTTGTTGTGTTATCAAACACAATTCTCATTATCGGAATAAAAATAAAACATGTTATCAAACATATTTTTTTACTCAGAAACGGTTCCAAGGCACATAAATAGAAAAGAATTGTTTCTTTTCAGAAACAGTGTCAAGGAACAGAATGGTTGTTATGCACACCCTAAGTTACTCAATAAAAGAAAAATTTATTCTATTTGTACAAAAACAAAATGTGAAAATTGTTAAGTTGCACGTAAGTTCAACACTATCCAGTGAAACAGGGGACAAACCATAGTAAATTTAGCATTATCCAGTGAAACAAGGGGCTAACAATGCTTCGCCAAACAAGAAGCAATGTGAAGTCTTAGACTCTTAGTAACCCAAACGCAGAAAAGAAACTCAAAACAGCAAGACTCAGTTTGGCAAGCCAAAACATAAATAATTTTTTTTTTTTAAGCAAAAACATAAATAATTTTACAACTCCAGAATACAACAGCGATTTGCAACACCACCTTAGTGACTGCTTGAATCAGGCTTCCGAGCCAAAAAGAAGTACATTGGTGTGAAAATCTCTCTCCTGAAAAAGTAGCATAAGCAAGTTAAAAAAATTCATAGGCTAACCTTATTTAAATCATCAACATTTCTTTTTGGGGGTGAGATACATTACATAAATAACATTTGGTCCAGCAGAGATTACCATATGGATGAGAACTGTATATATGACCTAAGATAGACTATGAGCAGCATAATTTCAACTCCAATTTTTTCTTCTATATCAAATGTAACTCTAGTTGATTTTTTTTTTTCTTTTCATAAAAAAATCCAGCTGAGACAACATCCATTATATTTCAGATGCAGTTTGAAAACAACAATAAAGGATTAATAGAAACTTACTTTCCACCTTCAACTAGTCCCTCTGCTGCCTTCTCTAGGAAATCTTGAACCTTTAGACTTCCAGCTGGAGCCAGTCTAACAAATTCTAGAGCCTTGACCTATAAGCAATTAAATTCAGAGCCCACAACTGCTATCAATATTTTCAGTAAAAAACACAAATCATGAATCCTAAAGATACCTAAAGTGAAATAATTTGTAGCTAAATGATATTCAGTAGCAATACCAGGTTTCTTGTGAACAATCGTCCAATAGCTGTTAAACGGAAGCTACTAAGTGAGAAGTGGCTTGTATCCAGAGGCAAGTACCAAGGAAGAGGAGAGTCAACTGCAAGATCTTTCTCCCAGATTACCTTCATGCACAAAAGGAATGAATATCCACTTAGCCAATTAGGTTCTTAATCTCTTAAATATTCAAAGAACATTAATCAGTGAACAGTAATAAGAAGTTAATGATGTTCACCTCAAAACCTGCTTGCTTCAGAGCTTCAAGACACTTTGTGGTCAATCTAATGTCAGGAAGTCCATCGCCAATCTCGATTTCTGCCTGCGCCAATAAATTTTATACATAGAATTACAAACCAAGCTGAGGCAAGGAAAAGAGGAGATTACATCATTCTAAATCCTTTCTACCTCTCCATCATACCTTTATTTTTTGGTGTTCTTCGTTACTTGGATCAAAAGCAGCAGTCATGCACCATTCATATGCAGCAAAATATTGGCCAGGCTTCAACACTCTAAAAATCTCTTTGTAGCAACCATACTGTCCGTAATTCCATATCAGGAACGAAAAAAGAAAAAAAAGTTTCAGACAATTCAGATTAAAGACAAAATTCTATAAATTCACAGTTCACACAAGCATGGCCAGTGGCCACATTTGAAATTGGGTCAAGAATACTTGTCAATTTATGGATGGATCTGCAACTATAGAAAGTTGATATGTGATAATAAGGAATAAGAGTATGAAAAGCTGTCACATACAGCATCTGGTGCATGGCAGGTGGCTTCAATTGCATAAACTGCATCAAAACTGTTGTCTGGGAATGGCATTTTCATGAAGTCAGCCTGCATTATCGAATATGATCATCGTGTCATTGTCAGCTACAACCTTAAATCATATCATTTCATTATCAAAATATCCAATGCAACACCCTAAACTTTTCCTTCACAAAATAAAAAGTGCACCGTAAAAATAGAATTTCAAAAATAGTACAGAAACTGGACTCATGCTAAAAAATAAAAGACCTCACCCTCTGCATGAAAAAAGGAAAATAATTTATTTACAAGAGATCAACCTTGACAAAGTTGCAAGTCTTGTCCACTCCAGCAATGCGATTCAGTTCCTGTTAATAAATAAAAGCTCATAAGTGATCAAAACTGTTTTTAAAAATAAAAATAAAAATGAACTTTACTACTATCACTCTCGACTACAAAATGTGGAAAATCAGCATAATTTCTTCATCAACAAGGATTTTATGAATTTTACATAAGATGATTGATAAGGTCAATTTGTTGTTTTAAGGCATTACATATTCATAACACATACCTTTCCTCTTGCTATCTGGTACTCATTGTTGTTCAACCCTGTGATTGATGTCAAGCTGCACAAATACAATTAAGTTTATGAACCCAACCACTCTTTCCTTAAAAGAGAAATGCTTCCAAAATAAATATCCTGTGTAATACTTGGCACCAGTGGAATATAACTGGTACAATGCTAACATTACACTTTTATCCACAAAGAGCAAAATTGGGATCCATGAAGCATAACAGGTTATAATTCCATTGTACTAAATACTACGGCAGCTTAGATAAAGTAAACTAAGTTTATGGTATCAAAATTCAATCAAAAGGAGATAAATCTGAATCTATCAATTATGAAGCGAATTTACACTTCATTTTTTCCTCTTCTTTTCCTATAATTATAGAGCAATGTCATACATAGTCTACAGGACGTGATTCCGTTGGAACATGAGATGGAGCTCAATTGAGAACCATAAAGAGCTTAATTTATGGAAAGAGAATATGCAAATAGGATATCTGTTCAAGCGAAAGAACATGTCAGGAATATACTTAATCATTTTTATGAGCCAGTACAGGTAGATCAAGGAAAGCAAAGGGAGAGGAAGCCTCAAAGAAGGAAGTTCCATTCACCTGAACAGAGAAATTTCTCTTAGTGGGCCCCCAATTCCACATCCAACATCCAAAACCTACAAAGAAAAAACTCATGAATTTTAATTAACAAATAGTGAAACAGATATCAGTTTGCTTCATTGAACATGCAAACCTTCTGTCCAGGCTTCAGACCAAGTTGTAAAGAAAGGAAGTGCTCATGTCGTTTGATGCTCTCCCGAAGAGATTCCCCTTTCCATCTGTATATGAAGAAAATTAGCAGCATGCATGAGTGGTTGGGTTAAAAGCAAATTCTTCAATTTGTAAGTGCAGAATGAAGCAAATAGACACCTGGGTGCAAAATGGAAAGATTCCCCCCATCCAAACTCATAAAAGCTGGTAGAAAGATCATAGTATTTATTAACCTGAAAAAAATATGAAGATCTCATAGTACTCTTTTTGTGCATAATCAAGTTGGCTTTAGTTAAAATAGAAAAAGGATGTCTCTAACTTCACGAATCACATGTCATAAACAGCAACACTAGTAATCGAAAGAGGATAGCTGAAAATAAATGAAGTGACAATATTTATGAATAATAATAATGATAATAATAATAAGAAGAAGAAGAAGATTAAGATTGCTATCAGTTAATCATCCCACATGCACTTGGCTAATGGCTATCCTAACCACCCAGATATCCAAAATAATAGTTTAGATAATGTTTCAATGTCATATCAATTGAATATCTTCATAAGAACTGCATTGATTAGTATAATAAAAGGGCAAATCCTGGTGTGCAAGGTTCCCCAACTTTGCAAGGGTAAGGGTGAGGGTCAATTGTACGTAGTCTTATCCTAGTATTTTTGCAAAGAGATTATTTTCCAAACTCAAATATATGACTTTCCGGTCACAAAAGGAGCAACCTTACCACTGTTCCAAGGCTTGCCTTCATTGAATAGTATAATAAATAGCATAAAATTATTTTAGAATCAGATATAAATTGGGAATGCATATAGCATGCAGCTGACAGGAAGGATAGAGCTATAAAGGTACCAAAACCTGAAAAAAAAAAATTGGTTAAATGAAGTATTAATATCTCTCACCATATCAGTGTAATTAGCTTTCCTGTCTTCCTCTTCACCTCCATAACAAACATGATACTTCTCATACCTGAACCATAAATTTAACACATTTTATCATGCTAATATAAAACAGAAAAAAATAAACTAAAATAAAATAAAAATCAAGCAATGTAACAGTTATATTAACTAAAAACAAAATATAGTATATTATTAGTCGTCAGATGGAAACATTGATATCTTTTCCCTTGAATATAGCAACGTCATACAAAACATAAAACAAAAAACAAAATCACCTGACATTACTTGTCCATGTATAACCTAATAACTTTAGAAATATACTTTCCATTATTCATAGTATCACTACCAGTCAAACTGTAGGCAATCAACATCTCATTGCAATCCATAATAGTCGAAGTTATTAAGAACAATGCGAAGAAAAAAAATAATTAAAAATAAAAAAACAAAAATGCATAATTCAAGTGGGGGAAAAAAACAGAGAAACATGTACTTCTCAACAGCAGATAGAACTTCAGATTTCTCGAGCTTTCCGCCGACACCCGATGCCAAATTCATTGTCGCAGCTTCCGATTCGTGTCGCAGAACAGACAAGGAACTTGCTGAGATCTAAACACAGAAAAACCGAAACTGCATCAGAATCATGGATGGCTGCAAACCCAACGAGGAAAGTAAATGCAATGATCAAAAACAGATTTTGAAACATGGGTCTTGAAGGGAATGTGGGTTGGATCTTACGTCGAAAGAAGGGTGTCGGAGAACCCAACCAAGGGAAAGGGAAAACTTTTCGGAGATGAAAAGGAAGAGAGATAGATAAATAACACTGGAATGGTTACCAAAATGTACGAATATAAATATGCAATGAGAGGGACAGAGAATTAATAATAATTGGGATAGGTTATAATCATAATATATTTTTTTATTATCTCTTATTATTAATTTTATTATTGTTAAATTAAAATCAAATTAATAATTATAAAATAATATTAAATAAGAGTTATTAATTTAATTTTAATCCAAAACTAACAAGCGATAAAAAAAGGTGGTAAACCTCTCATAATTAACGGTGTTCATAGATTGAAAGAGAGAGAAGGGGGAGCGGGGGTAATACACATTAATTGTTTTAAAAATTTAAAAGGTTGAAAAAATTAAAAAATATATTAAATAAAAAATATCATGAAAACGAAATAAAATAAAATAATTAAAACTGAAAAAATAAATTAATCATATAACTATAAATATAGATAAGATTATCCCAATATTACAAAAGCATATTATTCATGACACTTAAACTTTTTCCAGTTTAATTACCTGTAAAGAACCTTGAGATACATCACCCCAAAAATTAGCTCAAAGGGTGGGAGTGTCCAAGTCGGTGGAAGTGTCCAAGTCCTTATAAACTCCACATTAGTTGCACATATAACCAATGTGTACTATTGCATAGGCCTAATTTTTGGTTTATCTTTTTGAGCTTTTATTTTAATTCCACTTTAAAGTGGGGGACGGTGAGGATCGAACTTGTGACCGACCTTATAGTCACTCAAGCTTTGATACCATGTAAAGAACCTTGGGATATACCACCCCAAAAACTAGCTCAAAGGGTGGGAGTGCCCAAGTCCTTATAAACTCCACATTAGTTGCACATACAACTAATGTGGGACTATATATCTCAACAATAGTGATCTCAATTTTGAGTATATAAAAGTGCAGCTATTAAAAATTTGGTAAGGACAATTTTGCTACTTATGTAATTTTATCATACTTAAATCAGATTAATCGAATAATTGATAAATTATTATAAAATATTTTTTAAAAAAAGCATGTGGTGAGTGATATTTATTTTTATTTTTTAAAAAAAAGGTGATTCTGCAATTATATTTTCTATAACTGGCCATTAAGCGTGGGGGAGCGACCCTCCATGTTCCATATCAAAAAAAGGGCTGGTGTAAGTGTAAAACATGCCTATTGTTATCAGGAATACGTTATTAATTGTGAATATATGTTATAAAAGAATTATGAAATACAAGTTAGCAACTACACAAAACATGTGAACTTCAGCACCATCATGCTCCTCCTAGTTTGTCAACTGCTATCGTGAAACATAAGGCTTACTTTAGTTATGAATCTATATCTATTTGAAATCATCATAAATCTTTATTTTCGGTTTTAACTATGTGGTGCATACTTCTTATGTAACATAAGATGAGAATTTTTGCAACACACATACTCAGGTGGGGTCTATTAAAAAAAAAAAAAATTAAAAATATTAACATGCAAAACGGTGTGAATGTAGCTTGAGAAGGCTCTTCTTATATAAACCCCTTTAACTATTGTTTTTCTCCTGTCACTGAAAAAAAAAATAAAAAATTTTGAGTTCCTTGCGCAACTGTGACAGACTTTGGGGCACTCCTTTTCTCATTTGTGCATGTAACCCACGTGGCCCTCTATGTGTTGTTAATGTTGAAGCCATGTGCCATGCATTTTTTATTTATTTAATCATGTCACGGACTCTTGTAATTATACACTCATATTATTATATAATAAGATTAACAAGAGGACACATCCGAATAAAAGTTTAAAACGGGTGAAAATTGCAATCACAATGTTTAATACGGTATACACAAGCATCGATTATTTTAGAGACTAGGAACTTCTTTTTCCTTGACTGAATGTAGGTGCTAAATGAAGAGTAAAAGAAATGAAGAAGAAAAGCTAAGGAAAGTCATTGAAGATGAATGGATCCTGTCACTTTTTGTTTAGAGTAAACATCATTTTTAGTCCCTAATAAAAAATACGGTCTCCCACTTTAGTCTCTTACAAAAATAAATTAGTCAGTTAGTCCCTAATAAATTCAAAGTGAACTCATTTTAATCTTTTTGAGGAACTAATATGGATCTTTTTTGAATTTATGAGGGACCACGATTTCAACTAAATGGGTCCACTTTGAATTTGTTAGGGACTAACTGACTAATTTATTTTTGTAAGGAACTAAAGTGGGAACCGTGTTTTTTGTCAGGGACCTATTTACTCTTTTGTTTAACATGATAAAACGATCTTAGTCTTTTCTGTTTTTTCTCTCTCTCTAATTAACATTAATTTGCCTATAAATAATTAAAATCTTATAGTATCGATTATGAGAAAATCCCCACTAATTATTGAAAGGGTAGAAAACGTGGATGGGGCATGAATCATCCAATCCCAACAGGGCAATGTGGATGATGGTTTGCATCATCCAAGAAGATGACCTATGTTGTACCCGTACTGATACTGAACATGACATTTCGACATATTAATTTTAAAAAATATTAGATTTTAATATATTAGAACATATTTTAATATTAAATAATATTTTTAATATATATACAATATAATTTATATTTAATATATATAACAGCTGATAACAAATTACATAATAAAAAATATTTAAATCATAAATTAATTTTTCATATCTAATTAAAAAAATAAAACAAAATAAAAATTGAATATACGTAAACATTGACGTTCTCTCAGAATATGTCGAAACGGAGTTATTTTTGTGTGCTCCTGGCACAAATTTGTTTTGGTAGGGCAGAAGTGAGAGAAAAGATTAAGGAGAGAAAAACAAAAATTTAATTTAGATGTCAATATTTTAATAGAAGAAATAATTTTGGACCATATTAAAAATTTTCATGGGAATATTGATTTCGTGTCTCAAAATATACATCAAATATCGTGTCGCAAGTGGCCCGCTTTCCAATTTCGAACTAAAACAGAAAAGCGTGAGGATATGATTTCCCTCAAAATCTCAAAACTATCCCTACACCACTTTCCGGCACGTAGGATGGGGAAATCTCAAATCATATCATGACAACTCCGTCATCGTCATAACTCATAATCAAAGTAAATAATGCCCCACGCCACTTTAAGAATTTAATTGTCCTCCAACACCCTCAAATCAATGTCGTCAAAAATTAAAACAATTTTTCATTGGGAAATCCATTTATTATGTTACACACAATTTTTTTATGAGTCTTCTCTCACCTCTTTTTTTTTTCTCTCACCTATTAAAAATTGTGTATGTAAAATAACTATTCATTTATAATGTGACATGATAAATAGATTTCCTTTTTTCTTTTTTAATGATATGTTTTGTAAAACATATGGATATGATGACATTTTTTAGTTTTTTTATAGATTTAAATTCTAACTAATAACTTCGTGTAAATTGAGTTTGAAGGGTTGAAATAATAGAGTTTTATTGGCTTTGGTATTTTTTATTTAACATTACCACAAATTTAGAGTTATTGAAGATAGGCAAATGGAATTTTATTTTGTTAATTTTACATATTTAAATTTTTTCATCTTTTAGATATATTAATATGATCACCATATCATTAAAAAACAATTTGTATAAAAAAATTGCAACTTAAAATTTAATATTTTAACTCGTTTGTAAGACTAGACTATTACTTTTGTTCATCAAAAAATCACCTGACATTATTTTAGTCTAGAATGCACGGACACACGATTTTAAAAAAAAAAATTGCGTGTAGGACACTGACACGCGTTCGACAAGCAGCCAACATTTTGGGACATGCGATTAACGTTTCGACTCAATTTTCTAACACGCGATCAAAAAATTTCGACACGTGGTCAACGCTCTGACATATTTTTTTTTAAGGTATAATTTTTTTATTAATAAAAAATTAATTTATCAGTCAACTTTTTTCTGTTGTGGAATTTGACATAAAAATTTAACAAGTTATGAAAATTTACTTTTGCTTTATATTTATGTTATGAAATTTGAATATTTGATTGGTTATATGACTTATTGTGAACTGTTTTATGTATTAAATATAAATTATATTATATATACTAAAAATATTATTTAACATAAAAACGTGTCCTAACGCGTCGAAATATGACATTTTTTAAAATTAACATATCGGCATGTCGTACCGTATCGTGTCTCGTCTCCCATGTCGGTGTCTATGGTTGGCAAAACGGGCCAACCCGGCTCGACCTGGCCCAACCCATGTTCAACCCGAAAAAAACAAGCCGGGTTAAGGTTGGCTCGAAAAAAAAACGAGCCAGAAAATCCAACCCGACCCGACCCGAGCCAAGTTAGGGTTGGCTCGAAAATAAGCTCGCGGGTTGGCTCGAAAAAAAGATCACAGGTTGGCCCCAAAAAAGCTTGAAGGCTAGCTCAAAATATTGCCAACAGGTTGGCTCGCAGGTTGGTTAAAAAAATATATGAGAATAAGAGTAATATTGTGTCACATGGCACGCAGCTGCACCCAATTTGAGAATTTTGAACTACAAGTCTACAACCACAGGTATTTATCAATCAACTTATTCACTCGACATATCAAAGAAAAAATGTAAAACGTTTTAAGAAAGTTAGGCGTTTATCCAACTCTTCTCTAGTCCGAGGCATGATAAAAAACAGGTTTCCCCAATAATGGAAAGGTCTATCCAACTCTTGTCATAAATGTGTCATATGGATGCAAAGTTACAACACCAAAAAAATCAATACAACGATAGTAAAGTTCACTAGCGTAAGGAAAATACCAAACAAAGAGATCCAAGTAGCCAAAAAGAAAGAGAAAAAACGATTTAAAAACCAACTTTACCTAACCAGATTCGACGATGATGTTGTTAATTGGAATGAAGATGAGCTTCACGAAGACTAGCGAAGAAAAGAAAGAATGGGGAAAGTGAGGACTAAGGACGATGGGTATGGGTAGGGCAATTTTTTATGAAAGAAAGTGAGAAAGGAGAACTAACTACCGAGAACGATGGGTACAGGTACGAGTAGGGCAATTTTTGATATTATTAATTTTTAATTAAAAAAAAAACCAACCCGCGAGCTGACCCGTTTGACCCGCGGACTGACTCATTTTGATCCGGGTTAGCTCGGGTCGGGTTGGCAACTCATTTAGGCCAACCCAACCCGGCTCATTTGTGACGGATTACGAGCCAATCCGACGGGTTGACTCGTTTTTGCCACCCCGTGTCGGTGCATCACAGGTTTTAATCTTTGAAATCCATGTGATATCAAAAAAAATTTAAAGATATGAAAATGATCCTCATTTTAATGTACAGTAACTTGATAAAATAATAATTTTAATATTATTTTAAGAGTAAACACCATTTTTAGTCCCTGTCAATATCTACGAAGTCCTTTTTAGTCCCTGGCAATAAAAAAAAGACCAAATTGGTCCCTGAAATTACAAAAAAGGGCCATGTTAGTCTTTATGTCAACTCCCAAATATGTAGAGTGACCATTTTCTTGTACTTTCAGGAACCAATTTGGTCCTTTTTTATTGTCAGAGACAGAAAAAGACTTCGTAGATATTGTCAGGGACTAAAAATGGTGTTTACTCTTATTTTAATCTCTGAGTTACTTAATTCACATTGCAGATAATCCAAGAGCCACATTAATGAATTTTTATAGGGTTAAATCGGTAATTTAATTCTTGTAATGTAAATTATAGTACTCTATTCACTAAAATATTCAAGAATTCAAATAACATAAACCAATTTAATAATAATAATATTATTAGTACACTGTAAATGATTACTATCATAATAATAGAACATTGCATATTATGATGTTATAAATTTAATAACATGACCGGCCAATTTTAGACAACACATGCATAAAGTTTAAAACGAGAGGAGAATGCAAGGCAAAGTATTACCAAGAGCGGCCAAAAGTATCCGCGGATTTCGGCGAAGTTGGCAGAAACCTTTTTTTTTTTTTTTAGAGAATATAATTTTGTATCATTTTAAATTTTAATTGTTGATTTTTATCAATCAATGTTTATAATTTACTAAATCTAATTATATAATAAATTAATAATTCGTAATGAATTATAATTGTTGATTGACGAAAATCAATTATTAAAATCTAAAATAATACAAAGTTATATCCTTTAAGAGAATAAATATTTTTCTCTTTTGTTTATGGGAGATGTTATAGTTACAGCTTTTTTTTACAACCTCTTATAACCATATATCATAACCGTTGATTTCCGTCAAACAACGGTTATGATTTTCGCAAATTAAACTCATTAATTAATTATTAATTCAAAATAAATGACAATCTTTGATTGACGAAAATCAACAGTTATGATATATGGTTGTAAGAGGTTGTAAAAAAAAAAGGTTGTAAATATAACTTTCCTCTTTGTTTATTTATTTATTTATTTTTTGAAAAAGTTGGGAGAAATTTTTTTTTTTTTTATAACAAGTTGGGAGAAACTTTGTTCCTGTACTTGCCACAATGTTGTGACCTAATGTGTGAAGTCTTGGCCCTTGTCTTTTTTGGATGAAAGTCAAGGAGATCTTTACAAAAATAAAAAATAAAAAATCAAGGAGATCATGTTATAACATTTGCTTATATTAAATAAAGTTTTAATTGTAATTTTTGCCTTCCTATTATGATTAATGTGTGTTTTTTTTAAAAAAAATTCTAAAAAAAATTAATTGCAAAAATCTGATTTCTTTATTAATATGCTATTCAATTGTTAATAAATATTAGTAACATGACAAATAATTTACATTAATAACATGATATTTTATTTAGAAAAATATCTTAATGAATTTAATAATATTTTTATTATACTTAGCATTATTTTGTAATATTTAAATATATTATTATACATTCATTCTACTAATACGGAGAGATTAATATATATTAGAGTTATTAACGAAACGAGTCTACTAAAACATTAACTTAATAATATATGATGTCAAATATATAAATTATTAATCGTATCACTAACTTTTCTTAATAATAAGAGACTGACAAAGAATCTTGATTCTTTTAATTGAAAAAAAAAAAATCAAATATTTTAATTATTAACAAGATGGTAGATGTCAAAATGTACATTCAGCCTTAAATAAATAAAGGTGGTTGAGTTTCAATAACGGAAAAACAAATCTAATACGTGATAGGTTTTAGAAAGTTTCCAGAATATTACCGTAACACACAACTTTCTATATATTTATCCAATTAAAATTAAATACAAAATACTAATACTGACAAATAAGAGAGAAAAATATTATTTAAAATACATACGTCTGATTTTGAACTTACGTGCGCCTATAATACTAAAAATGAGCTCGGTTTTAAGGTCCATATTTTTGACTTTTGCACAAACAAGCCACATGCTGGATTAGGGTACGGAGATGATAAGATAAAGGTAGGATATGATCGGAGCTTATAAGGGTAGGATATGATATGAGGCTGATAAGTTTATATCATGTCTTGTGTTTGATGAGCAACTGAATAGTAATCTGATAAGATTATATAAAAAGATAAAGTAGAAAGAAAAAATAAAATATAATGCAATAAATACAAATATATTATATAGCGTGAGGATATATTTGATATCCAATATTGATATCCTATCCTATTGAATCCTAACCCAGCTTCCATAGGATAAAAAATCATGTATTGGATAGGATAAAATGAAAAAATAGAATAAACAAATCATATCCTATTAACTCACTAAACAGAGAGATAAAAGTAGAATATGATAAATTATAATATTTTCTTATCGGGTGCTTTGAAAAACTTGCGTAACACTCGATTCCACTAATCATATCACAACAGCGAGGGCATAGTTACTTTGAAGCAAAATTGGGCTACGAGACTTAATCATTTGGGCTTATTCTTTAAACCGGGCCCATGGCCCAAAGAAGGCCCACAATGTGCAAGAACGAGAAGCTGAAAACTCTGAATTTCTCTCTTCCACAATTGTCTCACGCGTCCGTTCGTGAATTTATTCCGATCATTTTCAATTTTCAACGGTGGCGGCTACAATTTCATTGATTCTTCCTTATTTTTCATTGTGAAACCAAAATCTTATATAGAATCGCGGTTTGCTCTGAAATGGATATTGATAACGATTTCACGTTTTGTCAGGTAAGATCAATGCTATTTTCTGGACAGTGAAATTATATATATATTTTATTTATTTATTTATTTAAATGTTTTTTTTGTCGCTTTGTTTTTGTATTTTGATAAATATATTTGGCAGATTTACGCTTTGCAATGCAAACTTGATATGAACATGCATCTTCATTATATATTATAGGTCAGTTCACATGTTGATGGTGATGATGGTGTTGAAACAAACAAGCTTGTTTCAGATATTGCTGATATTTCCATAAAAGAAGAATCATCAAATGGAAGTAGTAGTAGTAATAGTAATAGTAATAGTAGTGGTCACAACGGTGGTTTCTTGTGGAAGGATGGTTTGCCAGATAATTCCAATTCTAAAAGGGAGGGTACGGTTGGTTCTCTGTCTTTTAGTGTAATTAACACAAATTCAAGTCAGAAGAGTGAATTGAAGGAAAAATTAGTACCAAGTGATGCTAAGAATTCACCTCAGAAGACACTGGAACAGAAGAATTCAGTTAAAAAGCCAACAGTTCGGGCCAAAGTTCCTTTTGAAAAAGGGTATAGTCAAATGGACTGGCTCAAGCTTACCCGATCACATCCCGACCTTGCAGGTTCCTTTGCTGAAATTTTACTATGCAATCATCCTTTTGGCCCTTTTTTTTTGAATTTTTCTTCGAATTACTTAAGTTAAGAGCTAATGGTTGATTATTACAGTTGAGTTGAAACTTGAAAATAAGCTGCATAAATTTTGCTGTCAATTTGTGTATATGCTTGTAGTCCCAAATTCCCAATTCCCAACCTGTTTAAGGGTAATTGTAGACTTTGACTTAAAATGATACACGCATGCGTGACGGTTGTATGCACATAAAGGCTTAACATGTGATCTTGTCTAATTAAACTTAATAATCTAATCTTGCTCCCACATGACATCAGGTATTAAGTACTTATTATCCCGAACTCTGTTGTCTTTCCAAAAGCAAGAAGATCGCATGTATATGCATGCACATATAAGAGGGTTACTCGCACTTCTAGTTGCTTCTGTCTTGTAATTTATCAACATGCCTTTGGCAAATAGTATTTTTACATTAATTTTTTGGTTAACATTTTTTTCTGTAAACTTATTTATACATTAGTTCTTTACTTGTCATTACATCTTTTTTGAATTAGACGTACTGTAATGTATTAATCTCATCTGTCTTATTCCAGGTTTAAAGGGACAGTCAAACAGGAGGCTTATTTCTATGGATGAAGTGAAAAAACACCAGACAGAGGGCCAAATGTGGACTGTTTTAAAAGGCCGTGTTTACAATATATCTCCATATATGAAGTTTCACCCCGGAGGTACAGCTATCAGTTCAATCTGCAAGTTCATATTTAACTTTTATGATTCTTATTGCTGGTTTGGTTAACATTACATATGTTTAAGAAAAATGCTATTATTAACAGAAAATTTTTTCCTGTCAAAAAAAATAAAAATCTCCCAGGTGTTGATATGTTGATGAAGGCAGTGGGAAAAGATTGCACATCTATATTCAGTATCCTTTTTTCAAACTGTGTTATTTAAGTTTGCGAGCTTACTTCATTCTTGTGTTTCTATTAATTCAATGTTACCCGTGGTTAAATAGTTTTTGTTTTCTTCTCACATTCAAATGCCAATTTTTATCTGCGAACAGTTCTGTGAATATGCATTGCATTTGACATGCTAGTTAACCTTGATAAATTCTTCTCATATGAGAAATATTAATGTTGATGCACAAATTTGTAAGCTTCTAACACATTATCTTATATCTTAGCTATATTCTATATGAGGAATTGGAGTTATGACCCTAATTTTATATCATCTGGACTTGGAACTTGCACAATTTCCTAGAGATAAATCTACCCACTTAAGAGGTGTGTTTGGTAAGCGGAGATCTTAATTTTCCCAATGCTTGGAATCCTATTTATATGATATTCTGGGATAGAGGTAGTATGTATAAATACAAGATTTTTTTATGCTTGACATATTATAACCAAGATGGGGGTCTTAAATGTTTCTGTACATATCATACTCGAATAAGTTCTAAGTAGTTGCGAAGGGGGGTATGTTGCTTATACCTATTTTAGGCAGATTATTTCTGTTTGTTTGTTCGTGCACATGTCATTTGCATTTTTCATCTGTTCCAGATAATGCAGAGTTTATGTTCTTTAAGGACTACTTGCAGCCTTATCCTTAATCCTTGTGTCAGATAAATACCATGCTTGGGTTAATGCTGATTTCTTATTGGAGAAATGCCTTCTGGGTACTTTAGATGACAGTCAGTGAAGAAAGAATAGTTTTATTATAATAATGAATAATCACATGAAGCTAGCCTTGGCTCCAGTCTGTTGTATCTCTTGGGCCCTCGTCTATTTACTGGTCAGGGCTCTCATGCAATGGGGAATGAATTCTATGCATGTACTTGTTTATGTTTAAAGAATCCCGGCCAATGGGAACTTGCTGTATAATTATGGATGAGTACTGTTATTCTGTAAATTGAAATTTTGATTAACAATGTGATGGGCCTTTAATAAAATATCCAAGCCCATTAGTTAGGAATTAGTATATATAGGTGTTTAGGGTGGGGTTTCTTTTTGCTGAATATTATGGATAAATTGGGGAATTAGGAGAGGAAATAGGGAAGCTCTCAAGGCTAGGTTGTTGTCTTTTAGTGGAGTTTTTCCTCATTATGTCGGTTACTACGTTCTGCAGTTTAATTGTATTTCTATCATTGTTTTGTTGTTGAGGTCTGTAACTCTGTATTACAAGTCATGGAGTCTGTGGTTGCTTGTATTTTGCTTGCTGTCAGTACTGTAACGGAGCTTGTCTCCAATGAACTTTTGGTGTTATCCGTGGTTATTTTTGTGGGTTCCATCACAATGTAACATTTCATACATGTTTGTTGACTCTGTTCATTTATGTAAAATCAAAGTTCAAGGATGAGTTGGTATTCCCATAATTTTTTAGATGAAGGAAGATATAGTTTATACCACTATTTAAGCAAGTGAGTTTCTTAGGAAGATGAGTTACATATTCCTAACGAGGAAATTAAGCTCTATATGTGTCATGACTGCTGCTAAAACATGGGCTGAAGGAAACAGCCCCCCCCCCCCCCCCCCCCCCCCCCCCCCCCCACCTGAACTACTCGATTTGTTAGCTACGCAGGATATGATTACCTATCAGACATGAGGAAATTTGATATGAAGACTTCTAAATCTGTTTTTAGTTGGTACATACTAGCGTATTCATATTTGCTGAAATTTTTTAAAGCTAGAGGTAGTTTTCTCACTTGAGTGTTAGCAATGGAGGGCTGCATGGAAAATGGCAAATAATGCATTATATTAGGAAATATTCATACATTGCTGGCATTTATTTGACTTACGAGACACTGGAAGATAGTCTGGATTTGATATTGTATTTACATATTTGTAATAATTAGTGAATATCGACTAGCAAGACAGTTGCTGTCTTGAGGATGGTTTTAAGTATTACAAGCTTGTGTTGTGCAACAGTTATCTTGAGCATAGTTCATAAACTGTTTGCTTGTGAACAGGGCCTGAGCAAAATGTACACACTCCTTCAAGTGATCGAGGGTTATGTAGAAATGAACCGTTGCCTCTAACAAGAGGTGCATGTGGTGCGTGATTCAGTTATAGTAGAACATAATCAATTTTACATACTTAACAAATTTAGATCAAATCAATAACTATCTTATCTTAAAGAAATAAGTCATTGATTTTTAAAATAATTTGGCGTAGTTCGGTCCTGCTTTTTTCTCTCTCCGACATTAGTCCATCAAAGATGCAAACAAAAAGAAATATGACACTTTGGTCATGAAATATATGAATTCTTAGATGGGTACTTAAAAGTTTACTTATATTAATCTTTCAAATTTGTTTAAAATGCATTTTCTTTTGAAACGGCCGGATAGCTTTGCCCAGTTGACTTAACGGCTATTGGACAATGCCTTAGACAAAACAGTGGAATAAGTGATTCTCCTGTGCTCCTCACATTTAGAGGTGTAAACGGAATAGACCGGCTTACAAGGGTTTACGGCCTATCTTATATCAAACTAGACTTGGCCGATTACATATAATAAAATAAAGCAGATTTAGACTTTTTAAAAAAATTATTTAAGAAGTAGACCATAGATTTTTTTTTTACATGTCGTGTCTATAAGCCTATAGGACGATCTATATCATATTATTTATTTTAAATAAAATAAATAAAATTATTTTTTAATAATAAAATAATATTATTTTAATTATTGAATGTTTAATAGACTTAAAGAGGCTAAAAGACATAGGCCAAGACTTTTGTTTTTTAAATATAGATAACTCAGACTTATAATTTAGGCATACACAAGACTAACAGGCCAGGTCAAGTCTAAGCTATTTAAGTCGAAGTCTAGTCTAACCTATTTACACTCCTATTCACATTTTTCACGCACAGATGACTTTTTTCACGTCAAGGATCACTTACCTCATACTATAGTGGAGCCCATAAAGTTGAAACTTTATGACATCACATTTTTCATATTAAGATGGAATCTTCCCAATCCTATAAATGGGAAATTTTTTACAATACTACTGTCTTACCCACTTTTCTATACATCCCTCCAATACAAATTAAACACCTATGCTGATTGATGACATGAAAAAGAAAAAAAAATATATTAAAAACAAGTGTTTAATTTTCAATGACAGTAGTACATACTGCTGATGTACCAAAGATGAGCTCTATAAATGGAGGGTCTTATCTTACTAAAAGGATCATCTTCTCCAACGTTTGAGCTTGTTGTTAGTATGCTAATACTACATCTCAACCATAATTGAGTTCAACACATCTTCCCTTTCTACCCTCAACTTGTTTAAGGCTAGCACAGTGACTCCATGGTCCATACCATTACCTCCTCAGTCATGTCAGATCAACATACTTCTCATGTTTGGCATATAAACCTTCATTTCCAACTACTGACGATTTTGTATTTTAAAAATCAACTTGAGCAAATTAAACTCTTCATTTTACGATACCAAACAAAACAAAACAAAATCAATTGTATAGACAAAAAGTAGAGGAGATCAATAGGAAAAGCCTACTTTAACTTCAGTGACTGTTGGTGTTAGGTAAATACAACTGTAAAATAGTTTGATCGTTGATGGTAATTAGTGTTATGGACCCATACAATGAGCCCATTAAGTGGTAAGTCCAATCAGAGGCAATTTAAGATACGGATTGATATTAATAAATGATAGATATCTATCAAGGATACTAATCCTAATACGACAGCATAGCAAACAGGTCTAGGCCCTCATCAGAGGCATCAAAGGTCCATCCACACTACTTATAGGTAACCTCTATAAATACAAGGTAAACCCTAAAGATACGTTACGCTCTCTCTCATACTATTATGTTGTTACTGTGCGCACACACACTTCACTGACAAACGCCGTTATAGTATTCTGTGCTCAATAATCTTCTTGACTCAAGGATATCTCATTCATAGATACCTTGAAAAGGACATTAAATCCAAGATCGACATACCAGTCTACTGAGCTGGACATCTCTGTCTTAAAGACTGAACAATTAGCTAGTCATGTTTTGTAATGAGAAATTTTAAGATTCCTCAACTTTTGTAGTGGAGAAGCAGTATTTGTCACCCATTCACTGTACTAAGTGCAAATCAACATCGTTCTTTACTTGTGCCGGTCCTCTTTGAAGAAATAAAGTGCATGGACCATACTACCATGTCAAAGCAAAAAGTCCCATCCATCCCTGGCCATATAATAATGAAATAGTAGCTAGTTAGTTTCTTACTATTTTGCATATCCACTCAATTTTCTACATATCCACACGTTTCCTAATGTTACTCCAAAACCATGGTTCACCAGCTATAACACAAGTCTTTATCATTTTTACCTTCTTTAGAGGGTTGAAAGCTGAGAAAATGGAGAAAAGCTTCGGGTAGTGTTTGGTTGAAGGTTTATTTTGGGATTGATGGGTAAGTGTAAGTGGATATTGGAAAATACCATGTTTGGTTCAGGTTTTTTCAAAAAATACCAGGCAAATAGGATAGATAGGAAAATGACTTTTGTGTTGATTTTTGGATGAAATTTACTGTTACAAAATACCACTTGAGATGTGGTATTTTGAGATAATTGAGGAAGTGAAAAAACAGGTGCAAAGTTTCTCCCGAACATAGATTTTGCATATTTAAATAAATTTTCCTGGTAATATTTGGATCAACCAAACAACTTTTTTTACATTTTCCTACCAAACTCACTTTCCAACCATTTCCCTAGTAAATTTTTTTTTCTCCCAAACCAAACACTACCTTAATGCATAGTGAGTATTGAATTCGGTATTCTTTTTTATTAAAAAAAAATGGGTGAAAAGGGAAAAAAATTTCTTTTTTTAATAAAAGAGAGCACCGAATTTGATACTCCTAATGCACTGAAATTTTTCTCCAAATAGATGAAAATTAAAACTTAAAATTTTCTATTATCTTCTCTGAGAAAGAAGAATATGCGATTGTATAAGAAATAAGAAGAATATTCACCTTAATTTTCTCCCAACGAAGAAGAATATAATTTTCTATTTTCGCATTCGCTCTATATTTTATGTACTCTCGAATTGCCTTCTCATTTGTTTTTTCAAAACAAAAAGCTTCAAGTAGTTTCCTCTAATTAGATCGTTAAATAAGCTTGATAGTGAGTGTGAGTAACATTGTCCTTGACTCCATTCTTCCTTTTGTGTTCTCTAACCAGAAAATTACATGGGTGTGCATAACAACATTTCCGAAATCAGTTTTTTTTTTTTTTTAATTTCTATTTTCGGGAACAGAAATGGATAGAAAACTCGTTTGGTAAAATCGATTTTTTTTTTTTGTTATCAGGATGAACTGATTTAATTTTTGTGCTAGGGAACAGAAAAAAAAAATTCATGTTTTTTTTTATTTTCGGGCACAAAATGAGAAATACTCGTCTCTCTCAATCACACTCAATGACTCTCCACCACTACCATCATTACCACCACCGCCACCATCATCCCAACACGACCACCGTCTCCATCGTCGTCGTACCACCAATGTTGTCGTCACTACCACCATCACCGTCACCAACCACCACCATCATTGCCGCTGTCACCATCACCATCACCACCACTGGCGGACCCACGTTGGGTCACATGTCCGCAAGTGCAGACATGTGATTTTGGTTTTTAATTTTTTTTTTTAGTTATGTAGGTTATTATTTGTCTCTTGGTTCAATATTTATATTAGAAATAAATATCATTTTAAGTCCCTAAATATGGTATCCATTTTAGTCCCTTATCAAAAATTAGTCTCGAAGAGGTCTCTAAAAAATTCAAAGTGGATCAATTTAATTAAAATCGTGGTCCCTCATAAATTCAAAAAAGACCTACATTAGTCTCAAAAAGACTAAAATAGGTCCACTTTAAATCTCATAGGGACCAGATGACTCTTTTTTTCATAATGGACTAAAGTGGGGACTGAATTTTTTGTTAGGGACCAAAAATGATATTTATTCTTATATTAGTTAGCAACCTATAGAGATGATTAAATCAACATAGCAACACAAATTGATTAGAGAGAAAACTTATTCTTCCTCCCATGTCACGTACTCATTCCCATGATTTCTTCATCCTTTGTTATGGAAGCAACTAGATTATGAGCGGGTTCAAGCGTTAATTTAAACTTTTTTTACAAAAAAAAAATTCGGGGGCAAGTGTGCGGACATAGAGAAATTTTTCTGGGTCCGTCACATGCCTTCACCATCACCACTACTATCACCACCAGCAACTGTCATCACCGCCACCAACCACCACCACTACCTCGCCGCTGCCACCATCACCACACCACCATATGGAAAGGAAAGTGATGATTCGAAATTTTTTTATGCTTAATA